GCGAAAACGGACAGAAAGTGACGAGAAAGCCCTTCAAGTCCTCACCTCCATGACCCTCACTCATCTGCATCTGTGCCCGCACAGGCCACCCTCGCCCTTGTTACCAAGGGTGACCTATCTGTGCTCAGTGCCAACCCCTTCCAGTTGACATGCTTTCTTTTTTAAAAAATATGCCTTTGCCCTAACCAGTTTGGCTCAGTGGATAGACCACTGGCCTGCAGACTGAAGGGTCCCAGGTTCGATTCCGGCCAAGGGCATGTACCTGGGTTGCAGGCACATCCCCAGTAGGAGATGTGCAGTAGGCAGCTGATCGACATTTCTCTCCCATCGATGTTTCTAACTCTCTATCCCTCTCCCTTCCTCTCTGTAAAAAAATCAATAAAATATATTTTTTAAAATACAATAAAAAATGTCTTTGATTTTAGAGAGAAGGGAGAAACATCAATGGGCTGCCTCATGCACGCCCCCTACTGGGGATTAAGCCCGCAAGCCGGGCATGTGCCCGGACCGGGTATCGAACCAGCAACCTTTTGGTGCACAGGACGCCCCACCAACAGAGCCACACCGGCCAGGGCCTGACAAGCTTTCTTCACTCAGCTTTCAGAATGCCAGCTGCCTCGCTTTCCACTTCCCTTCTGGATTCCTCTTAATGTTGCCGCCTGCGTAACAGAGAAACTTATCATCTTCTTGTCCAGCGACACTCATTTCCTCTGTGCACCCGGTCCTGTGGCGCTGAAGGCCTCCTGCACGCTCCATGCCTGGAAAAGGGACTCTGGAATTTTTATCTTCAGATCAGCCCTCGCCCCCTGAATTCCAGACTCGCCCTCAGATTCTGTTATCCATACAGTGAACACCAAATAAAATCATCACCTTCCTTGACTCAAAAAGGACCCATGAGCTCACACAGAGGAAAATCCAGACCTTACAGTGGCCCAAGTCCTGCGTGACCTGGTCCTGGTGCTACCCATGACCTCACCACATACTCATTTCCTACAGCCTTGGGCCAGCTGCACTGGCCTCCTTGCCAACCCCCTTCCCGCTGCTCCCGCCCCCCCCCCCCCCGCCCCGCCCCACCTCCTCCCCACCACACACTAACCAGGCACACTCCTGCCTCAGGGCTTTTGCTTCTGCTGTTTCTTTTGCTAGAATACCTTTATTTTTTTATTTAAAAATATTCTTATTGATTTCAGAGAGGAAGAGAGAGGGAGAGAGATAGAAACATCAATGATGAGAGAGAAACATTGATTGGCTGCTTCCTGCACATCCCACATTGGGGATCAAGCCTGCAACCCAGGCATGTGGCCTGACTGGAAATCGAATCATGACTTCCTGGTTCATAGGTCGATGCTCAGCCACTGAGCCACACCAGCTGGGCTGCTAGAACACCTTTAACAAAAATACTCACATAGCTCACACTTCATCCCCTTATGGATGATTTATATTATTTTAGAGAAAGGAGAGGGAGAGAGAGAAACATGGATGTGAGAGAAAAACATGATCACCTGCCTCCTGCACACCCCATACATGTGCACAGACTGGAATTGAACCAGCAACCCTTGGGTGTATGGGACAATGCCTAACCGACTGAGCCACACAGGCCAGGGCCTCTTATTTATTTAAATGTGGGGCCTATGCCCAGCAAGTGTGGATCAGTGGTTGAGGGTCAACTCATGAACCAGGAGGTCATGGTGCGATTCCTGGTCAGGGCACAGGCCTGGGTTGTGGGCTCAATCCCTGGTAGGGGGCTTGCAGGAGGCGGCCAATTGATGAGTCTCTCTCATCACTGATACTTCTAACTCTCTCTCCTTCTCCTTTCCTCTCTCTGAAATCAATAAAAGCATATTTTAAAAAACATAAATAGTCCTAGATGGTTTAGCTCAGTGGATAGAGTGTTGGCCTGCAGACTGAAGGGTCCTGGGTTCGATTCAGGTCAAGGGCACATGCCCAGGTTGTGGACTCAATCTCCGGTAGGGGGTGTGCAGGAGGCATCCAATCAATGATTCTCTCTCATCATTGATGTTTCTTTTTTTTTTTTTTAAATATGTATTTTATTGAGTTTTTACAGAGAGGAAGGGAGAGAGATAGAGAGTTAGAAACATCGATGAGAGAGAAACATCGATCAGCTGCCTCCTGCACATCTCCTACTGGGGATGTGCCCGCAACCCAGGTACATGCCCTTGACCGGAATCGAACCTGGGACCCTTCAGTCCGCAGGCCGACGCTCTATCCACTGAGCCAAACCGGTTTCGGCATCTCATCATTGATGTTTCTATCTCCCTCTCCCTTCCTCTCTGAAATCAATAAAAATATATTTAAAAATACAAATAAATAAGTAAATAAATAAATATAAAGCTTTCTCCAAAGCTCCTCTTGCTCCCTCCCTCCTCCCAACCTTCCCTATCTCAGTTTCCCTGCTGTGTTTTCTCCATCCCACATATTATTATACTAGAGGTCCGGCGTATGAAATTCGTGCATGGTACGGTCCCTGGGCCTGGCCCGTGATCAGGGCTATCTTCCCTGGTGGCCTGCAGCTGGCTCTGCCCCCCCACCGCCACCCACCCCAGATTTCCTGTTCCCATCCAGCAATCGGAGCCTGTGGAGGGTGGGGGAGGACCCAGAGGTTGGCCAGCAGGGCCTGTGGGCAGCTCCTATGTTGAGCGTCTGCCCCCTGGTGGTCAGTGTGCGTCCTAGCGACCGGTTGTTCCGACACCTGGTCGATTTGCATATTATGCTTTTATTTATATAGATGACTAAAGGCAAATGTTATTTTGCTTATTTTTCTTGTCCACTGTCTGTCCTCTAGTATCTAAACTCCACGAGGGTGCAGATCTTCTTCTGTTCTGATCTCTTCACTGCTATCTCGACAATACCTTCAAAATGCCTGGCACATACTAAGCACTTAGTAAAGACTCACTGAGTGAATGAACACGCCAGTGAATGAGAATGAGCACACGCCCAGAGGGAGCTTATGTTTTAGGTGGGGAAAAAACAAAACCAGATTAAAAAAAAAAAGTTTACGTTAGCTCCAAGCAAGTGCTACGCATGTGCTAAACTAGGGGGATGAGCAAGGCCAAGCATGGCTCAGTGGTTGAGCTTTGACCCAGGAACTGGAGATCACTGGTTCGAGTCCCCGTCAGGGCACATGCCCGGGTTGTGGGCTTGGTCCCAACTAGGGGGTGTACAGGCGGCAGCTGATCAGTGATGTGTCTCTGTCATCAATGTTTCTCTCTCTCTCTCCCTCTCCCTTCCTTTCTCTTTAAAAATCAATAAAAACATTAAAAAGTAAAATAAAATAGGAGGATGAGCTGGGACCTGTGCAGCGAGGTAGTCATTTTATGTACAAAGAACAGCACGTGTAAAGGCCTGCCCCTGGGACTGAGCTTTTCATGTTCAAGGAACAAAAAGAGAGTTGTCATGGGAATTAAATGAGTTAATACAGTAAACCCTCGACTTTGCGGACCTCGATTTAACAAACTTCGGATTCAACGGACAAAATTTCCAGTCCATGTGTCATATGTGAAAAGTAACACCCTATTCATTTTAAAATGCTTTTAACCAAGATTTGCTTATAATGAAATCAACAGGTTATTTTTTGTTGTTGTTGTTGTTATTCACTGTTATTTTGAATTGGCCATATGTTGGAAAACACACTGCAGTAATTTTGCCGACATAAATAAATATTACATATCTATGACGATAGTCTACATATTTAAATCCTGCTCGATGTTTGGGGAATGCTTAGTATGTGATCACATAGCATCCCGTGGGTTAACTGGTTCTGTTGTCCAGTAGCCTGACTTTCTGCAGCAGTTTTTAACTCTGTGAGGGGGATGTTCCCATGTGCCCTAAGCCACACCCCAGCCGGTGCATTTGTTTATTCTGTAACTGGAGAAGGCACGCATTTGCTACACCTATTCAGTACAAACTTGAAATGACAGTGATACATATAGAAAGCTATTCTGTGAAATTAAACTTTTAAAAAAATATATATTTTTTATTGATCTTTAACAGAGAGGAAAGGAAAGGGATAGAGAGTCAGAAACATCGATGAGAGCCCTGGCTGGTTTGGCTCAGTGGATAGAGCGTTGGGCTGGGAACTGGAGGGTCCCAGGTTCGATTCCGGTCAAGGGCACATGCCCAGGTTGTGGGCTCGATCCCCAGTGGGGACTTGCAGGAGGCAGCCAATCCATGATTCTCTCTCATCATGGATGTTTCTATCTCTCTCTCCCTCTTCCTTCCTCTCTGAAAGCAATAAAAATGTATTTTTTTTTTTTATTGCTTAAAGTATTACAATAAAAATGTATTAAGAAAAAAAGAAACATCAATGAGAGAGAAACATCGATGAGCTGCCTCCTGCACACCCCCTACAGGGGATGTGCCCGCAACCAAGGTACATGCCCTTGATCGGAATCGAACCTGGGACCTTTCAGTCCTCAGGCCGACGCTCTATCCACTGAACCAAACTGGTTAGGGCTGAAATGAAACTTTTCATACATACTTAATTTTAATTACAAAAATGTGTCTACATAAGTAAAAACAGGTAAACTAATCTGTCAATTCTTTAACATACGCATTCAGAAAAACCTATTTTACTATATAATGGACTTTCGGCTTTAACAGACACTCCCTGGCCCGAATTACTCTGTAATTTCGAGGTTTTACTGTACATGCAAAGGCTGTATGTGGGAATCAGAACCGAGCTAATCGGACAAAAAAGGGAGAAAACATCATTTTAGGCAGGAAGCAGCATGCACCCCGGTCCTGCAGGGGTGAGAAAAGTCTTGCTGAGGGTGTCTTCTGCCCCCGGAAATGGCAAGGAGGCTGCCAGAAATCTGGGGTTGGTCGGGCTTACGCCTAAATCCCTGAACACAGGGCCTGCATGGTGACAGGCGATAATATGACAGTCATTCTGGAGGCACAGTCCCTGGGGCATATTTGGGGCATCTGCCCCTCCTCCTACCTAAATGGGCAGTAGCCACCTTCAAAGATGAAAGCATTGGTAGCGTTCAAATATATTCTTTATTTAAGGGATGGAAACAGGATAGGGAACAGAAAGATACCTTTGTTAGTTGCCACTGAAGTACCATCGAAAGAACATCCTGGGGAATAGAGAGGTGGTTGTGTGTGGAGAAGTTGGGGAGCAGATGTCTGAGTCCTGGAAGTCTGAGTCCCAAAGGTGGAGAGGGCGTGGAGTCCTGGGTCTGAGGGAAGAGGGGCTGGGGGCCTGGGGGCCTGGGTCTGAGGGAGGAGGGGCTGGGGGCCTGGACCCCTGGGTCTGAGGGAGGAGGGGCTGGGGGCCTGGACCCCTGGGTCTGAAAAACGAGGGAACTGGACACTCGGTGGAAGGAAGGAGAGCCCGGTGCTGCGATCCGGGACCTGGGTACTCACCACGCCAGCAGGGTCACACCGGCTGAGGCTAAGGCTGCGGCGGCCGCGAGCAGGCCCAGGTTGCTGAGCGTCAGAGCCTCCGGCTTGGCCAGCAGCTCGCCCAGGCTGGGCCTCCAGGGCTCGACCCCCTCCGCCTCTCGCGGCGCCCAGCGAAGCACTTCCCGAAAGGCGACCTGGAGCTCGGTCTCCCCGCGCGGGGGAGGGCCCGTCACTGCCGGGACGCGCACGTCAGCGGGGCGCGGGCATCGCCGCTTGCAGCCCCGCCCCGCCCCGCCCCTCCCCGCTTGCAGCCCCGCCCCGCCCCGCCCCGCCCTGCTTGCAGCCCCGCCCCGCCCCGCCCCGCCCCTCCCCGCGCCGCTTGCAGCCCCTCCCCGCCCCGCCCCTCCCCGCGCCGCTTGCAGCCCCGCCCGGCCCGGCCTCTCCCCGCGCCGCTTGCAGCCCCGCCCCGCCCCGCCCCTCCCCGCGCCGCTTGCAGCCCCGCCCGCACCGCCCCTCCCCGCTTGCAGCCCCGCCCGCACCGTTCAGAAAGAAGTAGAGTCGCGCCAGGGGGAGCTGGTCGTGCGTGATCACGCAGGAGAAGGTCCCGCGGTGCGTGGGCTGCACTGGCCGGATCCGCGCCAGGTACCCGTGCGCCCGCGGCATATCTCGGAAGTAGGACGTGTCCTGAGTCCGCACCTGCAGGGACGCACGGGCTCGAACCGCGGGGCCGCCCCGGGTCGGCCTCCGCCGGACTCGCTACCCGGCACCCCGCGCTAGACCACGCCCCCTGGGGCCCCACCCTCCGCCCTTACTCGCCGACCATTCACGCATCCCCCCGCCTCCTAAATCTTAAACTCCGCCCCTGGGGTCTGCAACTTGCGCACCCGCCCAGAACAATTACGCAAAGTCAGTTCCCCCAGCCCGGGTCCAGCAGCGTGAGCCTCGACTCCTCCCCTAAATGCCAGGACCCTCCCTTTGCACGAAGCCTGAATCTAGGCCGAGATCCTCCCCACCACCCCCCCGAACCCCACCCCTGCGTCCTGCCTCCTCATCTTCAATGAAGCCCAACTCGCCTCCAAAACACCTTCGCGCGGGCCCCGCCCCTACTCACACCCCCTTCTGCGAACTTCCAGGAATAGGTGATCTCCTCCTTGGGCAGCTGGAAGTTCACGGTGCAGGAGAACATGGCCTGATCGCCCCGTCTCACCGTCACGTCCTGAACTGCAGACGGGCCGCGTCACCACCTCGGCCCCGCCCTCGAACCGACCGCGCCCCGCCTCCAGCTCAGCCCTTTCCCGGGTTCCTCCGGTTCCCGCCTCCCGGGCCGCGCCCCTCACCTGGGCAGTCCAGCGGCAGGTCGCAGACCTTGGAGTAGCACCCGCGGCAGCGGAAACGCCGGGACAGCTCCTGCACCCCTGCGGGCGGGAGCGCTGGGTCTGGCTGGGCGCCACTAGCCTTTCCCAGCTCGCGTCCCTAAGCCTCCCCGGGTTCCATCGGCCGGAGCCCGGGCCCCGCCTTCTCCGCGCTCATTGGCTGCTTCTCACCATTCTCCGGCCTCTGGGTTTTTTTAATTGGTTTGCTTTGGCTCTCGGACCCGCCTTTCATGAGCTCGGTGTGCAATGCCTGCTTTTCTCCAGGCCTCTTCTTGGCTTCCCGATCGGATCGGAGGCCCACCCCTGCGCTCCCACTAGAACCTCCCCGCCCCCCGTTTCGGCCCGGACCGCGTCCCTTACCCCCGCGATCCTGAGCGTGGAGGGAAGTGCTTACCGCAGGGAGGGATGCAGGCCTGAACTGCGGAGAGAGAGGAAGCGTTACCGCCCTGGGAGTGTAGGGGGGTGCCCACCTGGGGCTCCCCTAGGGGATGTTACTGCGCTTGGGTGCATTCCTCGGAGGAGACGGGGCCAGGCCTGCTGTATGCCACTGGGGGACCCGGCCGGGCCTGCAGAATTGCACTGGAGGTCAGGCCCGGTGGCTTCTGGCCATCTAAGGGCGGCAGGCCTGCTGTGTGCGCGGAGGAGGCGGGGCGAGCCCCGGTGCATTCCACCGAGGGGGCGGGGCCGGACCCCTGGCGCTTCTCAGGGGCCCGGTTAGAGGTGTGGCCAGGCCTGAAGCCAGTAGCCCACTCTCACAGCGCGCGGGTCCAGGTCCGAGCCAGAGGCTGGGGCTAATCTGGGACAGGACCGTCCCACCAAGGGATCCTTGCTGGGGAGGGAGCCTTAGATCGCAGGGGCGGGGCCAGATCCCCAGTGGTTCGTTCCTGCAGGAGTAGAACCTGTGTCCCACCCAGGGCAAGCGGTTCAGAGCTCCATCAAGCGAATGGCCGCTTTAAGGCTGAGTTTTTAAAAAAAATTGTGTGTGTACCTGGGGGAAGGAGTTGGAGTCCATTTTACCTTCTTTAAGCTGCGCAATGGCCTCCCGCATTTTCTCTGCAGCGTAAGGGAAGGCAACCTCATAGGACCCTGGAGGATGGAGGGGGAAGCCTTGTGGTCCAGACTCTCCCCTCCTCCACCAACCCGTCCCCCCACGGTTGGGCGAGCTCGGCTGGACTCACCGTAATGGTGTCTGTGCCTCTTTCCCAGCCCCTCTCTACCCGTTTTGGGTATACACACCATTTCCTCCTCCCACCTAGTCTATTCCCAATCGCTTTCCTTCTTTCTCCTGCCCATCTCTCTGGCGGAAGCCCTTCTTGTATCATCTGTGCTTATCTTGTTGAGGGGTAGAGGGAGGTTAAAGATCAGATTCCTCACCAAGGCTTCCTAGGTCCGGCCTAGTTTCCTTTCACTCTCCATTCCATCCCTATTGTGCACCTTTCATTTCTCCTAAATGGGAAGGAATATTTTCTAGCACCCCAGGACCTTTGCACATGCCGGCTTGTTTCTAGTTCATCTTCCCCTACCCCTCTTCATCCTTCATGCCATGCCTTACCTAGACAGTGCATGCATACATAGGCATGAGTTACAAAGGCGTTTGAGAGTTCCTAAGAGTTTACATCAGCCCTAGCTGGTTTGGCTCACTGGATAGAGTCCGACCTGCAGACTGAAAGGTCCCAGGTTCAAGTCCAAGTCAGGGCACATGCTGGGGTTTCGGGCTCGATCCCCAGTACGGGGCGTGCAGGAGGCAGCCAATCAATGATTCTCATCGTTGATGTTTCTCTCTCTCCCCCTCTCCTTTCATCTCTGAAATCAATAACAAAATATTTTTTTTAAAAAAGAGTTCATGTCATACCTTGTGTCATTTACTTAGGTTTTCCCTGACTACAAACCCAATTTATTTGAGTTCCCTATTTTTCTCTTAGTCCCCCCTTCATGGAATTCATAGCTCTCGTCAGGTTGTAATTACTTATTTTATATATATGGTGATCATTTAAAGCCTATCTCCTTTAGTGCTGTGCTCCTAGAACCCAGGAGCTGGCTCTGAGTCTTAGAAAGTGTGGCTCAGTGGTTAAGCATCAACCCGTGAACCAAGAGGTTGCTGGTTCGATTCCTTGTGAGGGCACATGCCTGGATTGCAGTCTCAATCTCCAGTAGGGGGTTTTTAGGGAGCAGTTGATCAAAGATGTTCTTCTCTCTTTTATGTTTCTCTATCCCTCTCCCTTCCTCTCTCTAAAAGTCAGTAAAACATAACTTTTTTTTTTAAAGTGTTCCGTAATCATGTGTAGAAGTCCAGTATTCAACTGGGGTGGAGACCACAACGGAGGGTGGCCTGTGGCCCAATTCCACTCCCTGGATGTTATATTTAACCTGGAAAGTGTTGAAATAATGAACCAGTTGCCGTTGTAAGATTTGGGAAAGTCACATAAAATGTCTGCATATGTTTTAAAACATTTGAAAGAGCTGTATTTCCACGAGGCTGCAACTAGCTGGGAGCTTAGCAGCAACCACCCCCTTAGCCATGGCATGTACCTGACACCTCTCCATAATCCCCACCTGGATTCATTTCCACTCCTCATTCATTCCTTCACGTTCTCTGTCCTTATGGGTCTTTTGAGTTCTGACCATCGTCTTCCAAACTGCAAGGTTCTGTCACTTTTTCCACAGTGGACGGCTGGATTGTTTTGGTGGTGGAAGTTGGTTTTGGAAGTCAGAAAAGCAGAGGGTGTTTTAGGCCAAACGGTGCTTCTCCCAAATCCATATGTTGACGTCCTAACCCCTGGTAGTTCAGAATGTGACTGTACTTGGAGACAAAGTCTTAAAGAGCTAATGGAGTTAAAATGAGGCCATTAGGATGAGCCTTAATGCAATGTGACTGACTTCTTGTAAGGAGGAAATTTGGACTCACAAACACAGAGGGAAGGCCATGTGAAGACACAGGGAGAGAGAGCAACTACATCAAGGAAAGAGGCCTCAGAAGAAACTAACCCTGCTGACACTGACAACCTTGATTTTGGACTTCCAGCCTCCAGAATAGTGAAAAAAATAAATCCCTGTTGTTTAAGCCGCCCAGTTTGCGGTAGGTACAGCAGCGTCAGCAAACTAATACATAGAAATTGCCAGTTTCCTCCAAACATCTATTACTCTTTAGTTAACAGAATGCTTTCAGCCAGAAAAGCACCCCCAGCCAAAAGACTACATTTCCCAGCCTCCCTTGCAGCTAGCTGTGATCATATGACCTAGTGATGGTCATATGACTAAGTCCTGGCTCTTGAGATGCAAGTGGAAGTGTCCCTGTGGGAGTCTCAGGAAGTAGCCTTCTTATTGAGTAACATGTGCCATCTTCTCTCCTGCTGCTTGAAACTTGGATTGGATGGCTGGAGCTCTACCAGTCACAGAGGACCGTGAGGACAAAGGGTACACCCTAGGATGACAAAGCAGAAAGCTGGGAGGACCTTAGCTTCCCAAGAAAATGGAGCTGTTATACTAGCCTTAAGTGCCTATCTCAAGCCTCGTTTGGTATGGGAGAAATAAACTTCCCGCTGGCTTCAGCCATTTCGGGTTCCTCTGTGACTTAAAACCATATAGAAAGGCAGTGAAATGAGGATATTGGCAAGGGTGGCTGAAGTGATGATCACTGGGTATAAGCTGGAGAGAGGGGTACCGGAACCAGGAAGTGGGTTCAAGATGAAGAGTCAAGGACTTAGAGGTCTCATCTAAGCCACAGAGCAGGCAAGTGGCCTGGGGAGATGGCAGGGTGATTAGGAGGATGTGGTCAGTGTGGGATGCTCGAATGAAAGGCCAGGATGCTGGAGGAGTCATTCAAGAAATATCTATGGGCCAAACCAAGTGATGCCTGGTGAGGGTGAACGAGGGATTTACCAAGGAAGCCATGGGGGCGGGGTGTTTTATATCTATTAAACCCTGGGAGATAGAGTTGAAATGTCCAGAGGCCGAGAGGCAGGGGTCATATCACATGAACCACAAGGTGGTACTGATCGGTGCTGTGAAATCTCTCCAAAAGAGGTGTCTATGGTGAGGAGCTTCCAGTGTCTCGAAGGTCTGGATCAGAGTCCTGGCTCTTCCGCTTATGGGCACACCCAACCCACAACTGAGATATCCATCATCAGACCCACCTCCGTATGTGACTTTGGCCAAGTGACTTAACCTTCCTCACTTTCCTCGTTCATGAAATTGGGACCATATCGGTGTCTACCTCGCTGGGTTCGGGGAACGTTTAATGCCGTACAACACAAAAGCATTCCCACCTCCTCACCCCAAATTATGTGCCAGGTACCATTTAGTGACTGCATGAGATACTGTCTGTAACCACTTAGAACAGTGCCTGGCACACAGTGAGTGGTACAGAAGGGTCAACCACTTACCATCCCCAAGTTTGAGATGGGGAAAAGGAAGCATGGAGAGATTAGGAGAGTGGCCCAACATCAGATAGCTAGATCTGAAAACTCTGGTCCAGCTATCTCCTGGACCTGTTCTCCTTGTCTAGCTGAGCCCCAACGTCTTCATCTAGAAATAGGGGTTTATAAAACCCCATCTCACCAGACTGGTATGAGGCTATCCTTGAGGATAAATAACATAAATACATTTGTCTGGCAGACACAGCCTGCCCCATATATGGGGCAGGTTTAAGCATTCGGTCAAATCCTTGACCTTCCTTCTCTCCATCTTCATGTTCCACCTCCCTCAGCTCAGACTCATCTTGACCCACCTGGACCACTGCCATTGGTCTGAGCCACCACCAGTCACCCTTGCTTCTGTCCTTGTCCCACACGGCCCCAGTCATATCCTGTCTCCTTCTTAAGGCCCAAGTTGGTACAAGTAGCAGTTCTCAAAGGGAACTTGTTAGAACTGTCCATTTCTGGGCCATACCTCAGACCTACTGGTCAGAAGCAGAGGGTTGGGCCCAGGACCCTGCCTTTTTACACGCCCCCAAAAGCTTCTGAGAATTCGTACACTGGGGCTTGAGAATCTTACTGACCTACAAGGTCCTACAGGATGCGGCCCTTGGCTGCCTCACTAATTTCTTTTCATTTCGATTTCTCCCTCAATGATACCACGCCAACCACACTGACCCCAGGGCCTTTGCACTGGCTCTCCCCTCCACCTGGAATGTTTCCCCCCCAGGTTTTCTGTGTGGCTCTTACTGACAAAGGTCTTTGTTCAATTGTACCTTCTCATGTGCACCTGTCCTGACCAACCTGTTTAAAATGATCAACCCACGGGCCCAATCCTGTTCCCTTGTTTTCCTCCATAGCATGGTTCACCAGTTGACACACTATAGTAGTTCACTGATTACGTTTCCCGTCTGCCCCACCCTCACCCCCTACAATAGAAGCAACCTGAGGGCAGGTGACTTTCAGTTTTGTTCCCGGCACATTAAATATATCCCTGCAGAACGTATTGCACCAGCTTCTCCCGGCCTCCAGTAGGTCCTCCGCACAGCCCCAGAGGGTCTTTCTATACCCAGAGCTGACCCTGTCCTTCCCCGGCTCACAAGACAGACTCTCAAGTCTCCCTCACCTTTCAGCTACACCCTGGACCCATTTACCTAGATGTCCCCTGGGTCCCTCGCAGTCCCTATGTCCTAGTCCAGCTCACCATCTACCCCACTGCTTCTCGTCCTAGGCCCCCCACCTGAGGGATGACCCACCACCCACCACCCACCCATAGAGCCAACCCCAGGCACTGCCCTTTAAGCTTCCTCTTCCCCTCCCTGGGGAGGGAACAGCCCACCAGACCCAAGCCTCACCCATCCTGCCCTCGACGCCCTCAGCCCTGTCCCCTCATCTCCATCTTCACAGCCCCCACCCCAGCTCAAGCCTTCTTCACCCCAGCCTCCACCCAGTCCTCCCAGCCTCCACTCTGGACTGTCCCCTCTTTTCAACATCTTCTGGGACAACATGGCCCACATGGGGAGAAAGGGCGTTTCCTGGGGTCCTGCCCTGCCCCCCTGGCCCCTTTCTCTGCCAGCTCTGATTCTCCAGGTCTTCCTGGGGGTGGGAGGATCGCAGCTGAAGTCTCCTCCATCCTGGACCCCCAGACACCCACTGGATAGGTGGGCCCCTTCCCACCTTTGGGGATCTTTGTCAAAATGCTTGGTGGGCAAGAGCAGGAAGCAAGAAGTAATGGCAGCTGTAGGAATAAGCCCTGAGCCGCCAGACCTCTGAGGAGGCCAGTTTATGTTTCACAACAGGGCTCGGGCCTCCCTTCTTCCCCCAACAGTTCCAAGTCTCTGGCATAAGGACCATATGTTCTATCCCAGAGGAAGAGCTCCTGTTTGAGCTCTTCTCCTTAGGGGCCCCCTTCTTCTCTCTCTCTGAGCTCTGAAGCCGTCCTGCAAGGCAGGGAAGGTGTCCCACCTTACAGGTAGGTAAGTGGAGGCACAGGAGGAGGAATAACACATCCTGAACTTCATACCCAAGAAGAGCCACACAGTCCGGTCAGAACTCACATCTACCTGATCCGACCTGGGCTTCAGGCTCCCGGGCTATGGGGACTGTCCCTTTACCTCCTGCCATCATGCCCCTGTGGCTACCCAGTGCCATCTGCTCCTAAACCACTGCCACCTCCCAGGGGCACCCTCTTCCCCCCTGTACACGCCCCCATCTCCTGGGGGCTCCACGCCCACATCTCCCACTGCTGCCACCCCCACCCCACTCACCCTGAGCGGTGGCTATCTCTTGGAGGGAGAGAGTCATCTGGGTGAAGGAGTCATGCAGGTGGCTTCTCTCATCGTAATCTGGGGGTGGGGTGGGGGTGGGGCAGAGGCTGAGGGAAGTAGCTCCCCTAACATATCACCTGTGTGAACATTTTCTAAGACTTTGTCCTATAGCTACGAGTCTCTGTCCTCCCATCCAAATCCGCTTCCCTCTGCCCTGGCCCGTTTGGCTCAGTGGATAGAGTGTTGGCCTGAGGACTGAAGGTCCGGAGTTCAATTCGATTCCGGTCAAGGGCACGTACCATGATTGCAGGCTCCTCCCTGGCCTGGGCCCTGATGGGTGTGTGTGTGTGTGTGTGTGTGTGTATGTTGGGGGGGGGGGGGGTTTGATTGCAGAAGGCAACCAATTGATGTGTTTCTCTCACATCGATGTTTCTCTCTCTCTTTCCCTCTCTAAAAATCAGTGGAAAAATATCCTGGGTTGAGGATTACAAAAATAATAATAAAAAAAAAAAATCTTCCTCCCCTCTGAGTCTGTCCCCTGAGCCTCTATCTTCCCCTCTCTGAGTCTCTATGTCCAGTCTCTACCTTTCCCTCTCTAAGTCTCTGCCCCCCCCCCCATCTCTAGTCTCCTGTGCCTCTGAGTGTCCCCCAGTCTCTAGCCTCCTGTCCGCCTGAGTCTTTTTTTTTTTTTTTTTTATAAATTTTATTGATTTTTCACAGAGAGGAAGGGAGAGAGTTAGAAAGTTAGAAACATCGATGAGAGAGAAACATCGATCAGCTGCCTCCTGCACATCTCCCACTGGGGATGTGCCCGCAACCCAGGTACATGCCCTTGACCGGAATCGAACCTGGGACCTTTCAGTCCGCAGGCTGACGCTCTATCCACTGAGCCAAACCGGTTTCGGCCCGCCTGAGTCTTTGTCCCTAGTTTCTGTCCGGCCTCTATCCTTCCATCTGAGTCTCTGTCCCCCATTCCTATCTACCAGCCTGTTGTCTCTCTCTTCCTGAGTCTCTCCAGGCCTCTCCAGTCCCTCCCTCCGACACCCCCCAGGGCCCTGGAGGATGGTGGCGGGGTCTCCTCACTGATTTCAGTGTCCAGAAGGCCCTCAAAGGCAGCCTCCAGCGCCTTCTCACACTTCTCCACTTTCGGGCCCGCCACCCCCACGAAGGTCTGGCAGATGCGGATGCGCTCGCTGTAGGATGTGAAGCACAGGAGACAGGCCCAGGCGGGGGCCCCGAAGACCGTGAGGGCCACCAGGGCGCAGGGCACAGCGCTGCCTGCAGCCAGCTGGGCCATCGCAGAGGGGGCCCGGCCTGGGAAGAAGCCGGTGACCTTTGTGAGGTCACTGTGGGACAGGGGAGGGGCCTGTGGTCTGAGGTCAGAGGCCCGATTTCTTTTGCGGGTCAAATGTCAGGCTTGGGGTTGCAGGGAGGAAGGAGAGAGGGGTCAGGGGTCAGGTGTCGGGCCTGCAACCTTCAGACTGTGGTTGGGCCGGATGCCAGGCTCCCAAGAACCTCACCTGTGATCCTGGACGTCCTCACAGGTTAAAGGGTCTCAGGGACCCAGAGACCGGCAGTATGGTGTGCGGTGGCCCGACAGGCCCCGGGGGTTGGGGGGCGCGGTGTGTGCGGGTGAATCAGAGAGAGATGTGAGCGCCCCAGATGGAAACTCAGACACGGGGAGACACCAGGACGCACAATGAGAGAGAGATGGAGAGGCCGAGGCCACTGTGCAGACACAAGGGAAGCGCAGGACACAGCCGCGATGGGAGACAGAGAAAGCAGACGGGGCGGGTTCTGGAGGGGAAAGTCTTAGCGGGAAGGGGAGGAGGAAACGAAGGAACAAGGACAGGAGAGGCAGCCCTGATCGCTGCTGCTCCCCCTCCTCCCAGGGTCCCTGCGGCAGGCAGGCAGCCCCCCAGGAGCCCAGCGGGGTGGGGCAGGGGCTGGGGGGGTGGGGTGGGGTGGTCCCCGCCGGGTGGGCGTCCCGTGCAGGGCGCAGCCTGGGGAAAGCTAGGAGGCCGTATAGTGATCTCCGTGGGTGTCCTCCTCAACTATACAACCTCCTACCTCCGCCCGGGGGGCGCGGCAGGTGGACAGACAGACGGATGGACGGACAGACGCGGGAGGGGGGGACCCCCCCCAGGGCCAGGGAGGGTGGGGAGGGCCGGGGAGGCCCCCGCTGCGATGGTGAGCCCCCGACACGGACCCACAGACACGAGCTTGTGTGCGGCGAAGGCCCCGCAAGGTCGGTTCTACGGGTGGGTGCCAGGACCCAGGAATGCGGGCCCCCGGCCCCCTCCTCCCCAAGGACCCCGGGAATCAGTCCCTTTGGCCCATCCTCACCAGGGACCCAGGAGTTCAGTGCCTCCCCTCGCCCCCCCACTCCCTCCCTCCCCAAGGTCGCTGGAGTCCAGACCCCAGGCCTCCCCCACCCCCAGGCCTCCCCCACCTCCCCACCCCCTCCAGCCCCCAGTCCAGCCAGGCCTGTCTCCCTGGGGAAGGCGCAGGCAGCCCGGCTTCCCGGGTCAGAGGAAGCCTCACCTGTTGGGGAGTTTGGCCCCTGGGACCAGGGGGCTCCCTACCCACCTGTCAGGCGCAGGAATCCGGCATCTGGCCGAGGCGGCCCAGGGGACACAAAAGCTTCAAAGTGTCTCTGCGCCTCTTCTCCCCTCTCTCCTCCCTTCACAAGGAGGCAGCTCTGATCCCTGAGCTCCAACCCTGCCCCAGGCCTCAGCCATCTCGGTCCCGGGGCCCAGGGACCTTCAGCACTCCCCCTCCCACCCCCCCACAGCCCCCCCATTTTGCAGGTGAGCCTCAGGGAGTTTCAGGGACTTGGCCCCTGGAAGTGGGGGAGGGGGCGGCTTCCCAGGTGGGCGGCACCCAGCACCCACCCTCCCAACCCTCTGGGCTTAGAGTCGGGGCCCCTGGGGGGCTCTCCCTCCGGCCAGCCCTAGGTCTCAGCTCACTGCGTCCCCCCCCCCCGCCGCCCCCCAAAATCCAGCTCCAAGCTCCACCGTTGGCGCTCGCGGCCGGCGGGGCGCCGCGGGGCTGTCGCGGCCTCGGCCTCACCTGGATCCCATCTCCTCCGGCATCTGTGCATTCCTCCCTCCCTCCCTCCCTCCCTCCCTCCTCCCGGCTCACAGGTCCTTTCTCAGACTCCCGCTTTCTTCCCCGTCGCCCCCTTCTCACTCCTTCCCTTCACCTTCTGTCTGTCTTCCTCCCTTTCTCCTCCCCCCTCCCTCCGTCTTTGTCCCTCTCATTCTCTCCCTCAATTTCCCAGTCTCACTCCCTCCTCTCCCTCCCCCTCCCCCTTCTCTCCATCTCTCATCTCCGGCGCTCCCTCCGTCTCTCTCCTTCCCTCGCCTCCTTTCTCCTTCCCTCCCTCTTAGGTCTTTCTCCTCCCTCCCCCCCCACCCCCCCCCCCCCTTCTCTCTGGCTGTCTCCCCCCCTTCTCCTTCTCTCTCTCTGTCTTTCTCCTTCCTTCTCTCCCTCCCCCTCGCCGCTCCGAGCCAGGTCTGGAGCTGGGGGTGGGGTGGGGGTGGTTGGAGAAGGGGCCCAGGGCTGGGGTAGCGACCTGCTGAGGAGGGGGAGGAGAGGCGGGAAGGGGGCGGAGGAGGAAAGGGGGAGGCGGGGGGCCAGGGACGGGTCCACGGTCCCAGCTCTCATCCCCCTTCCCTCCTTCCCAACCTCCCAGACCCTCAGGCGGGGGCGAGAGTCAGGCCAAGGTGGGGAGGAAGGGGAAGGGAGGAGGCTGCCCCCGCCCCCCCCCCCAACAACCTGGCCCAGAGCCCAGGCCTGGGTTCCCAGCATGCCCCGGGGCTGCCTGGGGCCTGAGGAGGGGGATGAGAGAGGAAGCTGAGAATCTTAAAGATTTCTAGGACCTGATCACCCCCCCCCCCCACCCCGACAGATGTCTCCTCGGGGAAACTGAGGCCCAGAGAGAGAGGAGGGTCGGGCTTGTTCAAGGTCACCGGGCCGGGCGTCGGTGGGGACTCGAACTCCCTGGGCCCATAGGCGCGATTTGGGGAAGGGGCTGGCACTTCCCCCAGGTCTCCGTCCCCCTCCCCCTCCCTGCAGACCCTGGGGAGCCCCCAAGGGTCAGAGAGCAGACCCAAACAGTCTGGCACCATGGCAACCAGATGGCCCCGCCCCCTTCGCCCCCGCAGGGATGGAGTCCAGCTGGGGCTACAGAGGAGGTGGGGGACTCCTGGGTTCTGGGGAGGAAGGGGCTCGTGGGGGGGGGACCCTAGCTCTGGGGGTTCGGTTCGTGGAAGGCTGGGGCTGGCGTGTGCGCCCCCTCCCAAGTCTGAGAGGAGAGGCTGGGAAGCCAGACTTCTGGGTCCCGGGCTGAAGGGGGCTGGGGGGGGAGGGGGAGGGGTGCGGATTCTGGAATTCGGAGGGAAGGGCTGGGTGGCGGACCCCCAGGTTTAAGGGAAGAGGGGGGGGCTGGGCCTGGAATCCCAGGTCCCCCAGGGAGCCCGGGTGCAGGGCCTCTCGTCCGCCAGACATCCCCTGCCCCCGCCGCTGACCCTGGCCTGTCTGGCAGCCCAGACAACCTCCCCCTCCCCCGCGGCCCCCTCCCCCCGGCACGGCTCACCCTTGACCCCTCCGAGCCCCGCAGCCTCCTCCCTGCCCCTCCCCCGCCCTCCAGACAGACGTTAACCCTTCCGCCGCCGGAGGCACCGCCGAAGCCAGACGCTCGCCCGGCACCTACCCCGAGGGCGCGGGCGGGCATCTTGCGGCCCCCCCGCCCCCACAACACCACCTCCAGCCCCGTCTCCTTCGGCTCGGAACCCGGTACCCCAGCCCATCCCTCCCCCAAGAGGGACCCAGGGGTGTCCTCCGCCCTCTCCTCCTCCGGATCCCGAATCCAGGCCCCCAGCCGCCGCCTCCCAAGAATTCCGGAGCTTGGGTTCCCCACCTACCCCGCCCCCCCTCCCAGATCCCAGCCGCCGGGGCTCCCGGTGCCGCCTCCCTCGGGGACCCCGGGGTCCCGGGCCCCCTCCCCTCCCCTCCCCTCCCCTCCCGCAGACTCACGGCTCCGCGGCTCCCGCGTCGGAGGGCACGGTCTCCCGGGCCGGCCCCGGCCCCGCGGCCGCTGGCTGCTCTCCATCCTCCGCCCGCCTCCGCGCCCGACGGCCGCTCCCCGGCCTCCGCGTCCCCGCCAGCCTCCTCCCGACTCCCCCGGGCGCCGCGGCCCGGCTCCCCGCTCCGGACCCCGCGGCCCAGCCCCGCCCCGGGGGGCCCCCGCCCCGGCCCCTCCCGCCGCCGGCCGGCCCTGCGCGCCTGGCTTCCCCCTGCCCCGCAGCTGGCCCGGGTCCAGGGGAAAAAATTCCATCCAGCCGGAGGAGGCGCGGGCGGGGGAGCGGGCGGGAGGCCGGCCGGGGAGCGTGACGCAGGGAGGAGGGAAGGGACAAAAGGGGCCGGAGGCGGCGGGCCCGGCGCTCCCACCGCTCCCGCCCTCCGCCCCCCGCGGCCCGGCCGGTCTCTCGCGTCCCGGCTTCTCGCCCCTCCACCTCTCCTCCCTTCCTGCTCTCTGCCGGCCTCCATGCCCGGTGCATCCTCTCTCTCTCTCTCTCTCTCTCTCTCTCTCTCTCTCTCTCTCTCTCTCTCTCCCTCCCTCCCTCCCCCATCTCCCCATCAGGGTCTGCTCTCTCCTCTTTCCCTGCCTCCTTCCCTCCCTCCCCCTCCGCTGCGGTCCCCCCCCCCCACCCATCCACCCCCCCACCCACCCCCAGGGACTCTAAGGTGAATCAGACCCGCAGCTGCCCTTGCAGACGAGCTCACCGTCTGATGGAGGAGGCAGGCCCAGGCGCAGGCAGCTGCAATCCCGGGGCGATGGGGGGCCGGTGGGCGCCCGGGGCGGGAGGGAGGACTCCCGGCCGCTGGAGACGAGCCCCAAGGACCCGCGGCGGCGGCGGCGGCGGAGGAGGAGGAGGCAGCGCTGGTGGCATGACCTCCAGGAACCGGGCGCAGCTCGGTCTGAATGGCTGAGGGCGAGGGCGTGCCAGGCCGAGGGCACAGCTTGGGCAGCGGCGCCGAGGCAGGAAGGCAGGGGCGAGCCTGGGAGGGCAGCGCCGCGGTCCAGGCTGCGAGGACTGGAGCCGGGCGGCGGAGAAGACGGGGCCGCGGGTGGGCGGGGCCGGCGGGGCAGCGCCCGGGAGGCCGGGCTGGGGACTTTTTCTTGAGATTGAACGCGAGCCCTGGAGGGTGAGGAGCAAAGGGGAGGGGCAGAGCCGGGTGTCCGCGAGGCCCCGCTGGGCCCGGTGCGGGTGGGGGTGGGGGATGCGTGGAGGGGGAGAGGCTGGGGAGGAGGGTGCCGGGGCCGGGGCTGGGACCCTGGGGACGGAGAGCAGGGGCGGGGCAGCGAGTGTGTGGCGGCTGGAGGGACGGAGCACGGACAGACTCTGGGGAGGTGACCGGGAGGGAAGGCGTGGGGATGGACAACCGGGAGTCCGGCCCAGGACCTGCGGGGACTAGCGCTGTGTCCAGGGGGGAACCAGGAGGAAGAAGAGGGTACAGGAGAGGGAAGATGCTGGGCACAGCTTGGAACCCAGTGGCCATTAGGGGCCTGGGGGGCGGGGGGGGGGGACAGGGGGACATTTAGGGAAGACATTCAGGCAGTGGTAGGTGTACAGTTCTGGGGCTCAACAGTGAAAAATGCATTTCCCTCCCACCCTGTAGGCTGGCCACCCAGATCTCTCTGGGGGCAGCTTAACACTTACCGATTTCTTGTGAATCTTTCCAGAGCACTTGTATGCACATATATTACACCACCCTCTTCCTTTTTATGCCCAGATGGGCTCACATTATTCTACACTTTTATTTATGATTATTTTGTATTGATTTCAGAGAGGC